ATATTACCGTAGGGTTACAAATACAACAACATTAATAAAACACAGATTTTTAGCTCAGTAGCCAATTTCTGTAAACACTTAAGGTTTAAATCCTTGTAAATCTCTATGGTTTGAATATGTAGAATATATTTTTTTTATATATAGATTTTTATTTTACTGTGGGACTGCAGTTTGAACTAATTTGGTAGAATGGTCCATATACATTTATATGATATTGTTTTTCAGCTACATACTACATGTGTTTTTACATACTCAAGTGATTTGTTTGTGTAAAAGTGAATAAATTAATGCATTTCATTTTGGTTAACTAAACTATAATTTCCAATGTCATCATCTGGCAGCTTTAAAGATTCAGTGTAGTGAATCTACAGCTGATCTGCTGCACACTCTTGGAGGATATGTCCTGGTCTGCCGTGGCACTCTAAATGTGAAGGTAAGATAGCTTCCTGTAAAATTTTACTCAACAGGACATAAGTTTTCTTTTTTTTCTTTCTTTTTTTTCCTTTCTTTCTTTACTTCTTTAATATAAACAGCAATCCACAAACTGGATCAAAAAACAGTCCAAGATTCAGAAAGGCAGGGCAAGACAAGCACACAAACGAAACGAAAAAGCTGAAAATGCTCACGATAACAAAAGACTTTGCAATCTAAAGTATGTTAATACAGTTTAAAACCAGCAAATGAAAGTAGTTGAATTAATTTTAAAGCTACACTATGTAAGATTTGGGATTTGGAGACCTCTCTGGTGGGAATGTGTAATTGCACGCAAAATGCGGAAGAATAGTTTGTTCTGTGGGTTGTATTTCGGTCCACTTCCGCAAGCAGATGAATAAGATGATCGAGTGTTTTATAGGAGTATTCAAAGAGAACTCAGTCAAAACTTGGTGAAGGACTTGGTTTCTGACAATATGAGTGAATTATCTATTATTGTCTTCATTTCTTCATATAATGTTTATTTTGCACTTGAGGCCTAAACATCAACGTTCTGTTCAAACCTGTATGTGTAATGTTAATAAGACATGTGACATAGTCTGAAAAACCCCCCCAACATCATATTTTAGTGTGTTTTTTTTCCCTGTAATGCTACTTTCAATTTTAACAAAAAAATCTTACACAGTGCAGCTCTGATTAGCTTTTATCAGACAAACTAATTGGATGAATTAGTTCAGAGTGGATTCAATGTGTTTTTTTTTTTCAAGATTGCTCTTCCATTGGCAGCTTTTCTGGGATTATGTGTAAGAATTAGACAATACATGCACATTTTAGTATTGTAGCATTATCAGGGCAGGATTTTTCAACTTACAATGGTTGCCATAGATATCTGACCTTTTCTCATGGAATGAGCCTGACCCTTGTTTGACTAGATGATTTATGTGATAACCCATAGTTATGTTTGCTAGAGGAATTTAAAACATTTTACACATATATCACATGTCTATTCACCTCATGGCTGGTTATTTGACTGATACATAAATAAGTTCTGGGATCTATACAAAAATTCTTCATAATTGATCTTACATCCAGCTTATGTGGCTGCATGTCTCAAAGGTGAACACAGCATCCTGTTGAATATTTAAGAAAAGCGATAATGCCCCCAAGAGACAGTGATGAAGGCCTAAGCTCAGCTGTGCCATGTCTCCATTAGAGCTTGGCCTCAGCTGGCTCCTGGGCTTCTGCTTCTTCATCCTCATTCATTATTCACAAGCAAATAGAACCCCCTCTCAGCTTTTAGGAGAGATGTCCTTCTATAGGTGTACAGAGCGACAACTCTGGGAGATTTACTGCTTGTCTGTAACCCTTTGTTTTACAGGGCAAAGGTGAGATGACGACTTGGTGGCTGGAGACAAAAAGAGGCCCCATGGATCCTCTCCCTTCAAATGAAGAGCCACAGCGCGGGCCTGTCCCAGTTAGCAACTGACCTCACTCTCCAGAGAAACGACTGTCTACTGTCCTCATTGTTCTGTATTAGTACAGTGAGTGTGTACTCTGCCATCATAAATAAACTTGTAGTAGAAGTTGCTTCACTGTGCTATTAAACTGTGAACTAAACTGTGATGTGACATTAATGATTGTGTATTTGTATTCAGTATAATTGCATTCATTGTTGTCTTGTAGAACAATGCATAGTTCTGCATTTAGACACATTTTTCCAGTTCTTAACTCTTTGTATAGACGTTATGAATAGACTGAGAGGTCCATGTTGAGAAGTAATACATTGTGAATTAACAGTTTATTAAAGTATGAAAGAAAATGAAAAGTTTGCAAAGTTACTATTTTTGTCAATGTAAGATGCTATCTCTATTAAAAAAAAAAACAGTTTTTCCAGTGTATAACATTTAGAATTAATCTCTGTATTAATTCTGAGATAGGTCTGATATAGATTTGCTGACATAGATCATACACAGTAGCCCCAAAATGAATTTGGCAGAATTAGGGCAGTTAGGTTGACGTTTTTCTCCAGACTTTCTCCACACTGAGAGTCTATGAGTTTGATGTTGTGCTAAAAGTGTTTTTCTCTGCAACAAATATAATTTTGTTAAACATTTTATAAGATAACCTAAAGAACGTCATTAAAATTGACCAATTTTTAAGGCAAGGCACTGTCAAACATTTTTCAGATTATTGGATAAATAGTAGGCCTACCTATAATGTGTCTTAGCGATTAGCTATTTTAATGTAGGATAATGTAAGTAATGTAACTCTGGTGCATATTTTCTGAGATCTCACTGGGTAATGCAGTTCTGAGGCTGATTCTTAAAATAGTTTTTCTCAAACTTGTTTTCTCTCTACATTCAGAACCAAAATTACCTGCATTCAGGAAATGTTCATTTCTAACCATATTCTGAAGGAAATTGTTGAAGGATGTCTTAATATATTGCTTATAGCTGGATTTATGCTATGTCCTGTACTACAAAATGGCCTGAAAACCCTTTCTACAATCAAAGAATGTACTGTTTTCTGTAACCCCTTAAAATCCCAGGCTTATTGCATACTGATGCTTATTATTCAGTAACTACAGGGACTTCAATGCAAACTGGCTGAGCTATTCTTAGGTTATAGAAGTGTGTTATATAGCTTTGGGCCTGCTGGTGGGCCTTGGCCTTTTAAGGGGTTTTAAACAATAAGTCAAGAAGATTCTCAGGCACGTATCACCAAAATGAAATACATACTTTTATTCTCACATCACATAAAGAACAGATTTTAGCTTTTAAAAAGAAAACGCATGCATTTTTAAGGCAAAGGCGTCTCATTTGCGCACCTGAACGTATTATGGTCTTACCTCAAATGTGAGAAAATACTCGTATATCAGTAATCAACTGGCAAAGATTCATTATGATCTATTGTTTTGGCTATATTCACCTGTACTGTCCCGCTTAAATGGTTAAAATGTCTAAATATTTTTAGGACCACTGTATTTCTGTCCCTGTCCAGAGCCTGTTTTGCTCTGCGTAGCCTACGCTCGATCTCATTGGTTGACGCCTGGGTTTTACGAGGAGAACAACCAATCAGGCGCCTGCTGTTCGTTGCCTGACAACGCAAATGCTTGTCGCTGCGTGCCCCCGTTTCTCTGCTCCAACTGCCACTCGAGAGAGCAGCAAAAACTACAACATCCAAAAAGCTGCAATCATATTTCTGTGTTTACAGTCGCGTGCAACAACATCAACACGCAGCGCGCTTTCGTCTTCCTGTTTTCTGAGGCGTGTGTTTAAATCTCTGTCGACGTGGGACCCTCCGGAGGTCCTGGTGATGCTCTTCAGCCCCGAGAAGACAGTAAGTGGAGCTTTTCCTCACAGCACATAGTTTATTCCTAAAGCACGCTCACAAAATTAGCCATGAATGTGTCTTGTTGTTAAATATGCTCAGGTTCTCTAAGTGACTGATTCCTTTGACCCGGTTCTAACCAAGCACGGGTCAGTTTTTCTTGTCAGTCAGCTTAGCACACTCTAGACAGCTAGAACTCTTAACGTATAACTACTACAGTAGCGAATTAGGCTTAACTGCAGCTAATTTGTTAGTCGTGTATGCAATAGAACTCTGGTTATAAACGTGTTATATGTGCTCATGTGATTAGTGCAGTCTCTCCATCCACTGTGTGCTGGCTGCCTGTGCTAGAAATGCCCTGCAGCCAAAAACTGTGCATTTTAAACATGCGTGGTGCTACTACATACACACTTATCTAAAAAGGTGGTTCTTCTCTGGTTCTTCAGGGAAGGCAGTTGTTCTGTTTAGAACCATGAGTTCTGTATAGAACCATTTGCATTCTTAAATGGCTCCTTGCATGGTGAAATGGTTCTTCAGACTGATGGAGAATGTGTTGTCTATGGTTCTGTATAGAAGCATTTTGAAAAGGGTATTATATTGCACCAAAAAGAGTATCAAGCTTTTAACAATAGAAGAAGCATTTTTGGTGGTATATAGAACCATGTACAACACCATCTCCATCAGTCTGAAGAACCATTTCATTATGCAAAGAGCGCTTTAAGCATGAAAAGGCAAAGAACAACTTTAGCATAACACTGTTGTCAGAAGAAAACCTTTTATCTCCAAAATGGTAACTTTACAGGAGAAGGAAAAAACATACTTTACTTTTAATGTAAGTCAATGGAACCAGACTTTTTTTCAAGTCATTCTGGGATGTTTATTTTGGTCAATTCTTCATGAAATTTACACACAATGTAAAGGCCAACAGGCATTTTCAAATGACGAAACTGGAAAACACCAAAAATGGAGATACAAGGTTTTCTTTTGACAGCAGCGATAAAATGGTTCCATATAGAAGTCATGGTTCTAAATAAAACTATTACCTTTACTAAAGAACTCTTGAACAAACTTCTTTTTTAAGTGTGTAGCTTTACTTTTGTTTATACCTTATTAATGCATAGTTGGATAATCTCTTACTTTAACCTGTTAATCATGAAAACCAGTAGATATTTTTGAGTAAGATTCTGTCTCATCACAGAATATTTTTTTCCTAAATTTTTAATTTTTTCTTTGAACAGAGCATTGCTAACCTGCGTAACTGATAGATCTACATAGTGTATTCTCCTTGGATATATGGAAGACTGAGAGAATGCCAGAGTCATCATATGGTAATACGATGTCCAAAATACTATGCTATGTATCTTTCTGTGATGTGTGTCTAATTATGCCATGTAAACACTGTATTCAGTACATTATAATGTAATAACCGTGTTAATCCCTTGAGCCCCAGGTTTATTATTCAGCTATTTTTCTTTTTATAGGGGCCTTCTGGCCTAAAAGTTGAATGTTATTTGTTGTGATATGCAGTATTCTGTAGCAGCAACAGTACACCTGTCAGCCTCATACGTTTGACAGTATTCATAGTTTTATATAATTTTCATCTTTTTGCTCATCAGTGTATATCATACAACCTGACTCTTAGCTTATCCACTGATCTATAGGTTAATAAATAAAACCAAGCTAGCATTAGTGTAACTCTTACCTCGGTCCTTGAAAGAAGTCATAAAGAAAACAGTGATTCTGTTTTTGTTCAGCACAAAATGGATGCCAGTTGTTTTCTTTTTACCTATTCAGACAGATAAAATAAACCAAATTGAGGTAAGGAATCTAGGTACACAGGTAGTTACCTTGCTAACTATACTACTACTACTACCACTTCTATTACTACTACTAACAATAATAATGATAATAATAATGATAATATCTTTATTTATAGAGTACTTTTCTCACAGGTGGCAGCTCAAAGTGCTTTAAGCTTGTGTCCTCCTCATCTTACTAGGCATTTCTAACATTTGAATGACCCATTCTCTCTACTATAATGATGATTTGAAAACAGTTACTTAGTTATACGGCTGTACTAAGATATTCAGCTTCCTAGCATTACTTTTGGCAATGTTCAACAGTTGCCAGCAGGCAGAACTTTATCAACCCCTTAAATGGCCAGGACCCACCAGCAGGCACAAAGTTTTTTACACACTTCTATAACCTAAGAATAATACAGTTTGCATTGAAGTCCCTGTAGTTACTGAATAATAAGCCTTAGTATGTAATCAGCCTGGGATTTAAGGGTTATACAAAAAATTTAAACCAGCCTGCCCAAAAATCCACTCCAAAGCAGTTGTAGTTTTAATCTACTTTTAAACTACTTTTAAGGTTTTTTTTTCCATTTGGTTGGCATGTCCCTTTAAGACCTATTATTCAGTATCTACTGTGAAACTGGATTGTAAGTTTTATGGTTATAAGAGTGAGGAATTTAAGGAGTTTAAGTTTGGGCCCACATACAGCCCCCTTTTGTACTTTTATTTGACTTTTTTTAATGTGTCATTTCATACAGTTTCTATAATAACTTGACTCTTTTGCTCTACATAGGCAGTCTCATGAGTAAAGGCGAAAAAAATTAAGGGACTAGAAATAACAGTGGAGTGCTATTTTAAGTGTGGCTGTCTCTCCTAACCTCAATAAAACCTGTTATGATTCATGTCTTTTCTGCACATGATCATTACTAAGAGCATTTCTGGCTATGTCAGTTATGGCATCTCAAAATGGTCAGTATCTGTTTGTATATTTGTAGGTGCAGTGTTTGTAAAAGTGTCACACAGTTGCTCATTTTGCAGCCTAATGAGAATGAATTATGTCTTTTCTTTATTATTCCTTCTACAGAAGACATAAACAACATTTATGCTTACTCTACAATGCCTCCTTCAAGGCAATACAGTCAGTCCACAATGCCTCTCCTGCCTGTTAGCCCTTATAGTGGTCCTAGTGACTTCTGCACAGAGGAGAACATATCAGAGTGCATGCTATACATCAGTCAGGTAGGTGTGCTTTATAATGTAGTTAGATTTCTTATTGTATAGTTTTTGATGTTGTTTCAGTGTTAAATATGCATGTTGCCATTACTTAGCCATTACTTCACATGTTACCCAGAACACTGGGGTCATCACGTTAAAGTATTTTACTGGTGTTTTACTGGCTAGTAGTTAAGTACATAATAGTTTTTGAACTGTGCTGTGTGATTTACAACTGGCTGTATAGTAGAATGGTTAAGTCACTTGCTGTTGTGAGAGACTGGGATTCGAGCCTGTCTTAGAGAAGTGCAGATTATGAACACTACACTCCTGCCATTCCATGTAGCACTCAGGGCAAACAATGCAATTTGATCTGTAATCACAGCCCTTAATGATGTGTTCATTGCAGAAACTCATATCATGTTAAAAATACAATTGATTGTGCAGCTCTAAACAGCACAATGGTTTTTAACAACACGCAGCAGTTCAACTGATGTGTATATTGTGTACAGTATGATGGCAATTGTAAAACCAGTTATCCATTTATAAAAACCAGTTACCCAGAATTGTTCTTAACCCTTCTTTTGCACTCACAGGAGCTGTCATCTCTGGGTTTACCATCGATTTTCTACGACTTGAATGGGATTCGACAGCTTGATGTCATGTCAACACTAAACAGCATGTATGATCTGCTGCAGCTGCATAGGCGTGCTGTGGGAGCGGTGGAGGAGCTCGAAGTGGAGCAGCTCAAGGTCAGCAGTGACTTACACTGCCAACAGCTCACCAGCTCCAAACTCAAGGTCCGGCTTTTATTTGTCGCTAAAAATAAAAATAGTTTTACATTTCTTCAAGGTTACATCCAAGCAAAACAGCATACTGTAACACAAATGATGCTTTTGAAGCTAGTAGCACTCATTTTAAAAAGGACTAGTTTCGAGGTGTGTGAATAACCTTCAGTTCAAAGAAAGTCTTGTCTGTTTTTCTCTCCTTGTAAAGGACCAGCTTGAACTGTCCAAAAAGGAAAATGTCAGATTGCGGGAACGAGAGCGGCAGTTGGAGACAAGCATTAAGACGTTACAAAGTTGTTTAAAAAATGAAAAAGAGGAGGTAGAGTTCAACTCTTCTCGTCTTACTGCAGAATAGTCATTGGAGAATTTTATGGTGTGTTAACTGTAGATTATGCTGCATCATTGGTATCTATTTCGTATGTATGTCATACAGCAATATGTATTTTCATGTATTACATTTAAGTTGTGTTCAAGGACTCTTGGACACTCATTCCATTCGTTTTGAATCTGCATTGCATAGCTGTAACACTTTTTGCTCAATAGGTTCAGAAGCTACAGAACATCATTGCAAGCCGTGCCACGCAGTACAACCATGAAATGAAGAGGAAAGAGAGGGAGTTCAGTAAGCTTAAAGAGCGCCTCAATCACTTGCTGACAGAAAAGAAGGACAAGAAACAAGGTATGTAGACACTGTCTCATGCAAACAATTCTATAAATACAAAAATGTGAGATTTGTCGTGCATCAGTATTAGATAAATGATCAGCACAGACCTAAAAAGCACTGTGTATGTAAGAGCTCAAACTAGGCAAGTGGGTCACTCTGGCCTTACAGCCTTGAAATGATAGACTATCTGTGTCCTATTTAGTGGTTGAACGGGACTGGTGCATTAAAGAATTCACATATAAAAATAAGTTGCGATACTTAAATCAAAGTCATGGCATATTGTTTTATCAAATAGCATTCATATCATTCATTCATTCATTCATTCATTCATTTATTTATTTATTTATTTATTTATTTATTGAGGAATTACAAGATTTTATTACACACATTCACCACAATGGGGAAAACATTATCCCCTAAACTTTAAACTGTACTGAAAGAGGCCTTTTTTGCATGCAATTTGATTCGCTTGCAATAACACATATTCACCACAAGGGGGAAGCCTTAGCCCCTAAATATTTATTGCACCATAAAGGCTTTACTGCATTCACATAGTGCTTTGAAGTAGGGCTGAACGATTTGGAAAAAATATAATTGTACTTTTTCTGACTAATATTACAATTGCAATGTAAAATGCCTATGATAAAACGACTATGATTTTAAAAATTGCAGCTTTTGCGATTTCATTTTAAAATCACTTTCAATTTGATTTTTAATTTTAGTGATTTTTCTCTTTTAAAGTCTATTGTTTTAATTGTGTTTTAATCAGGTTTTATGTTCTATTCTCCTTTACTTTGTTACTTTTTAAATTATAATTTGAATTATCTTTGTAATTCATCATTTATAATACACTTTAAATGACCAGAGAGTATGAAAGGTGCTATATACATGAACTTGCCTTGCCTTTGAAAATTGTGATTTCAATATAAAAACGATTAATCTTTCAGCCCTAGGGTAGGTTCCCACTAAGTTGGTTGCATTTTGGTTTGAATTGGCAGAGGGAAAAGTGCTTTGGCAACTGGACAAAATTTGGGCTGGTTTTTCATTATTTTGGCAGGTTTTCAAAAAGAATATAAAATTAATCATCTGCATTACTTAATAATTTAGCAGAAATTTGAATTGGTCTAACTTCTTCCCACATCCAATCACTTATCAAAACTTTGATTGTTATACATTTTATCCTCTATTGTTGAGAAGAGGCCGTTACCCCGCTCTTCGTCTCGGACATCAGCAGTTAACATACTAGGTTTATTATTGATATAATGTGTGTGCATTCTGGCCCAAAACCGAATTGATCATCCAGTTCAAACGGCATTACTGTACATAGTTCTGCAACAGTAGTAAATGGGAACAGCCTGTGATCTGTGGAAGTTTTAAAACTGTGTATGAGGAATAATTATGCTTATATTGCACATATACAATATATTACATTGCTGTTCATTGGCCTGAATGCTTGGAATCATGAGTCGTATCATACTCAACACATGAAACAAATGTTAATACTTATTGATGAGTTGAGATGAGCTATTGCAGGATATGGAAATAAGATACCTAAGCAAATCAAGTAATTTAACTATTTCATTGAAATGACTTAAAGCTTCTTTGTCTAGGTGATTCTAAGATGTTTTACAGGCATAAAAAAGTACATAAAAAAGCTTTTCATAGCACTGAAATACATATTTGTTTAAAAGACCGTCAGTGCCATCTAGCGACAGTACTTCACTGCAAAGGCAAGACACTTCAGCAGATAACATAAAAAGCTTTTTATTGATGTCACGTTGTTTAAGTGCTGTATTATTTTGTATCATGGTTGAAATTACCTTAGACTGTTTTTTGTGCATACCTTTTGGGTGTTTTTCACGCATTTTGGCAGGTTTTTAACATATTTTGGCTAGAATCTGGCAGCCCATACCCTGTCGTGAACAAAAATGTTCTGAACTCGAAACAGACATTCTTCCTCTGAATGTTTCCTGATCCTCTGACTTTCGTGGTCATTACAGAGCCAAAATTCTAATATTGGTCCATGCAAGCTAACAGTTGGGGTACCTAGTGTTGTTATATAATAGTGTTTGCAGTTTAATAGTAAACTTACTTTCCTGCAATATCAGTTCAATGTGCTACCGTGCTTGTAGCAAGTATGTGGCACTATTCATATTTCAACTGCTAAACAATCTTGTACTTCAGAGGATCCAGTGACACTTGGGGGATAAATGTACATAAGACAAAATGTGTTGGGTTTGTAACATTCCTGTTTATCACAAGGCACGGTTGAACACCATTCATTTTTTTCTCATATATAAAAGCTGATTAAACATGGAGTTCCTTATATAGGCATAATGCCAACTACAGAATGATGCACAGCCTCAGAGGTCTATTATAATTTGGTAGATCTCCAGAAATAGGACTGGCCACCTCTGCTGTAAAAATTTAATTGTACATGGAGAAGAATGTCTGCATGGACAGTTAAGTTTTATTTGATTGCAGTAATAAACATTCACCACAAGGAGGAAGCCTTAGCCCCTAATATTTAACTGGACAAGAAGAGGCATAGTGCCAGTTTATTTGATGCCTTAAACATTTAAGCTTTTTTTTGTATGCATGTGTGTGCCCTCTGTCAGGGATGGAAGTTTTGAATTACGTTGGGAGGTCCGATGGGAGGAGAAGTCAGTGGAAAACTGGTAAAACAGAAGGAAGGTAAGCCAAAATCCTACCGCAGCACTGCTTATGGTGTTTGCTGGCATCTTATTTGAGTAATATCTGATTTGCTTTCTCAAACAGACATGAAAGTGAAATGTACAAGACTCTTCTAAATGAGTTTGATAAACATCAGAAGGAGCTGATGTTGGAGAACGCAGAGCTGAAGAAAGTGCTCCAGCAAATGAAGCGGGAAATGGTGGGCATTTTAAGTCCAAAAAGACACAGCCAAAAAGAAGAGAAATCCACTGACTTCACAGATCAGGTCAGTGTTTCATGATAAAAACAGTTGTGATGAAGAAGACCAAATTCAATCCAATATCAAATTCAGTTAATGAGTAAATTCGTAATATTTATTCTTGGCGAGCACAGTATTGCACAACAAAGAGTTCAGTGGCTCATTCTGTAATGTTTTAAATAGCAAATACCTTCTGATGACGAGGAGACTTCAGAGATGTCATGTGAACATGCTCGGGAAAAGCTCACCAACAGCATTCGGCAGCAGTGGAGGAAGCTCAAAAACCATGTAGAGAACCTAGACAATAAAGGTACGCTGAGAGTTTAAAGTGATATCACTGCTTTAACTTTGACCTGATTCACTTTATCACTTGGTTTTCAAGCCCTTAATGAGCTGATGCAGTGGGCTGTGCAGGAAAACCATAGAAATTCATGGGGCAGTTGAGAATTGGAATTTGGGGGAAAACTGCTCTACACTCCTAAAAAAGATGGCTCTTCAAGGGTGCTTTAGTAAAGCGAATGGTTCTATATAGACCCATGAACACTCAAAGAACCATTTGCATGCTTAAAGAGTTTTTTGCATGTAAAATAGTTCTTCAGATTGATAGAAAATGTGTTGTATATGGTTCTATATAGAACCTTTTTGAAAAGTGTGCTTCTATTATGATGATGTCATGCTTGTAACAATAGAAGAACCCTTTTTGGGAGCTTTATAGAGCTCTTTTCAAAAAGATTCTGTATAGAACCGTATACAACATATTTTCCATCAGTTTGAAGAACACTTTCACCCTGCAGAGAACCTTTTAAGCATGCAATTTATATATAGGTTATAGCTTTGCATGTTCATGGTTCTGTATAAAACCATTGTCTTTATTAAAGAACATTTGAAAAATCATCTTTTTTTTAAGAGTGTAGGATGAGAGAGTTGAATTATCCCTGTCTGAATAATGGAAAAAAACATCGTTAGGAAAATATAACACATATAATGTATATTTTTAAAACTATTTCTGGTTCTAAAATCTGATAGGCTGAACCGTGTTTGAAGCCGCTGTAAAATACTTCATATATATACACACAATTGAATTCTATGTCAGTGCTAAATCTAAAAAACACTGTGCTGTAAGTGGACCAATATGCTGCTTGCATGGACCACTGAGTATATTCATTGATGAAGTATGAACCCATTTACAACTGAGGGCCTGACAACTTCAAAAAAGTGGAAACTAATATTCTGAACTTTCAATCGATAACACATTTGTGTGTAAGTAGAAGTAGAGATATTTTATTATGGCTGAAATTGGTGAAAAGTTGCTGTGCATGCACTCTTGTTGTGCGGAAAGAAAAAACATCCTTTCGAATTCTGCCATGTTTTTTGTCAGTTCTTGACATTGAAATAAAGCAGACTTAAATGTAAATCAAAAGTAAATGTAAATGTACTTTATTAACTCACTATGTAATCAAATATGTAATTATGTACTACATATGTATGTGTTATGCAGTCTACATGTTAATCGTATAATAGAACAAAATTAGTAACCCTCCACTTTTAAGTGTGAAAGTACACAAACTGAAGGAAGACATTTTGAATTCAGTTGTTTGTATTCCAGCGTCTATGGTGCAGCTGGGAAAGGAGGTCAGTGAGGAGATGATTTCTAAACAGCTTCATCAGGAAGAAATGGAGAGACTCAAGATGGAGATCCAGCAGTGCAGGGACTTCATTCGGACGCAGCAGCAGCTTTTGCAGGTAAATAGCTGCATAATCACATGGTCATACCATTCTTTCTATCTTTTCAGTATCTCCATTGCTTATACACGTTTGTCTTGTATCTCTGTAATCAATAGCAACAACTCAACACTCCATGCGATGAGGAAACTGCAGCTGTCCTGAATGACTGCTACATGTTGGAAGAGAAGGAGCGCCTGAAAGAGGAGTGGAGAACTTTTGATGAGCAGAGGAAGAACTTTGAAATGGAGAGGAGGAGTTTCACAGAGGCAGCCATTAGACTGGGCCATGAGGTTATTAGTCGTGTCAAATTATTACTTGAGTTTAATTGTCATGCATTTCTGATCAATTTTGGGTAGAGGAATGGTAGTTCATTGGCTCTAGTCTGGGCAGACTGTAGTCCAGCATAGTCTGGTGTGATAGCACAGTATAGTACTTTGCTGACAGCAGTTTCTCCAGTTATCTACTGTTTATTTGTTTACAGTATTATTTACAGTAAGGGAGACTGGTGCACAATATATATATAATGTATAATATATTGTTTGCTAAAATATTTTAAGCGTTTAAGGAAGATTATGTATTTTCATACAAGCAACCTACGCATTTCTGCTTCACAAGAAAGCCTGAATTTTGTTTCTACCACCTACCAGTTATTAACAATATAGCCAAAAGTGGAGTGAACGCGGGGTTAATTGTACCAGATGGAGGAGCTGTAACAGTAGCTAAAATGTCTGGTAAATTGATGCCAATGCAATTAATTAATACAATTCTTTGTTGCATGCATACATGAATACTGTTACAGAAGTTAAGAGAATGATCATGCTAAATTCCTCAACAGTGTAGTACTGTATTTTAATTCTAATGAACATCACAGACACTTATGCCATTCAGAGATGGCAGTTGGACTGCAGAAGACTGCACAAATTGCCATTCACTTTTAATATATGCTTTGCAAATCACAGCTAATTACTGTAAAATCCAATACGTTTACTTCTTTGATAAGAAGCTTGACCTGTATCTCTCAGAATGCACCATTTTTACAGCAGTCGGCTGCATTTAAGGAATACCGTAGATTACTGAAGTGTTTTGCTGTAGCTTCACTTCAGCTCTTCACAGTGTGATGAGCTGAATCAGGAGTCTAAAAGCAGGAAAATCACTACACTGGACTTTAGATCACCACAACCAGAAACGATGACCCCTGATTTAAACACTTCTTCTGATTCATTTGAGAGTCTACTGCAATCAAATAACTCTATGATAACCTAATACTGATCTTCTGATTTAACTCTGCATAAGATAAACAGTGCTTTTTCTTTTGCAGAGGAAGATGTTTGAGGAAGACCGTGCAACCTGGCTAAAACATCAGTTTTTGAACATGACGTTTACCGACCAGATGAAAATGAAGACACAGAATAGCTTATCAGAATGTAAGTGGTGTATTTTTTTCAGTTTTTGATGAGCAGCATATTAAAATAATAAGGTAATTCTATACTTATTTCCTTACAGATTCTGTTCAAGAACAGAAACACCTATCAGGTCCCAAAACTCCACTTTAGCAGCCTCCCCAGCAGGCCAGGGAAAGAGTTCGGTGCGATGGGACCCCACTGCAGAGCATACTTTGCACTAAAGGGGACCAGAGAGCTAATTTATGTCGTATACAACTTCCAAGCCAATACAGCTTATTTTACAAACATGATTATCACATGCAGTGGTGTGGTTTACAGTCCGAATATTGCTTCATCTTTATGGGTCTTGAGTTGTAATCATTAGAAACTGTAAGGATTTCGTTTCATAATGAAAGTTGCAAAAGGAAACACCCACTGCCAGTAACATTTTTATTATTATGATTCTGTTTTTATCATTATGATTCTGTCAAACACTTTTTGTTGTATTCATAGGACGCAAGTGGAATGTTTAAATGGCTCTAGATTGGATCACATTCTAAGCCTAATGCTAATTCTAATGTGTGCATTGCATGATGTAGCCTTAATGTTTTTTTTTTTATTTTAGTGATTATGCTTAGTATATTGTGGATATGTTAACGCCAAATGTAAAAGGAACTGTGTAATTATACTTGTATATATAAAGAGTGCGAGAGAGATGTTTGAAGTAGTTCAATGCCTAATGGTTTAGTACTCCGTACTACGCAATATGTTCTCTTCTTAATAATTTCTTCTATATTTCCTGTCTTAATACTATAGTTTGTAACATATTTACAGTTTATAGTTGTAGTAATAGGTAGAGGGATACATAGTGGTTTTCAAGCTATAGTAAAATACTCTAATTTTCTTTTTAGTGGCATTTTAAGTCAACGTGGAGGCTGTCCCACATTTATTACTTGTGAGGCTCTGCTGACCTCACATTCTCTGCAATTATGCATTTTTTCTTGTTCTGCAAAGTCCATTTGTTTTGCTTGTTTTGCTTCTGTAGACATGAAGAGCCAAACTATTGCAGATTTGCAGATTTCAAAATTTAAGTAATTAATTATATTCAGATAAATGTTGAATGCATTAGTTTTATTATTCAGATACAGAGAGGAGTCTAATAGTATCTTTATTCAGATGTTACAGTATGAATCTTGTAGTTTTTCAAAAATCTGGAACGTTTCCACAAACGACACAAACTTCTCATTTTGGCAACAAGCCACTACTTTTGAAGTCTCTCTGTTAGTTCAGAATCTACCCATTGAAATGCCTAGGCAGATCCTGAACACATTACATTGCTGTTGTTTCTACAGAGTGTCATGGTGGTGTAGTTTTATTTGGAAAAATGTCTTAGAGAATAAATATTATGCCATTTGGATCAATGAAGTCAGTCAGATGTCCTGACAGGACAGTGAGCAGGTGACATACTATATTTTAGGCTTTTAGACTAACCTACGTTAGTCTGGCTTTACATGGTGAAACATACATGCTTGAAACTCAGCCGCAATAGTTGCAAGCGTCTCAACTTAGTGAAACGTTTCATGAAACAGCCAATCAATATGCCAGTAACATGTGACATGATCATATCAAATGACATCATTTGGTCAATGGACATGAAATTAAAACGGAAGATTTTTAGACAGTTGAAAAAGACTCTCAAGAGAATTGGATTTACTCATCAGGGGTAAATGTGTTGCACAAAAATTGTGTTGCGTGCATAATGCAACATGCAACTAGTTGCATTAAAGTTTCTCCATATAAAGCCAGCCTCAGTATTTTAAGCAGAGCAGGAAGACATTGTAACCTTAAGTCAAAAAGGTGTTAATTTAATGACAACAAGGTTGTTATTCATGTGCTGTCAGTCAAGGAGGGAGCAATTAAAGTTAGTGCAGCATGGTGTAACTGCCTATCTCAATGTTTTCTTCTGACTGCTGTCTGGCTGTACTGTGTTGAAGAGTCTCTCCTGTGTCTTACTACACCCTTCCGGGCCAAGGAAGAAAGTAATGGCATTATTCATTTACTTGAACAATAAAATCGACTGCTTGCAGAGAAAGGTGTATGCTTGCTTGACAAAGTGCACTTCAGGAAAAAGTAAAATTGGTTATGTAAACCGTAAAATTCTTAAATTTATAGGTCTAATTGACTACTTGGTGTGCAAAATGCCACCTGGTATATAGGGGGTCCCATGTTGGTACTCCAGCGTTGGCTGGCTGCTAACTCACTCACCGTAGACACTGATTCTAGCTTCAATGGCAACAAAATGTTTGGTTTAACAAATCTCCTTTTGGAAATGCTATTTTCTAGTTTGGCAATTTGCTCATATGCTACAGCATATTTTAACGTTTTCCAGAGATATCCTGGGCATATTTACAGTTGCTAGGCTATAAAGGACGAACTGAGTGAACCAATTTGCTACAGCACAACCCTGAGGCAGGCTAGTTACAGGGGACATGTTACGCTTTTCTGGTTTTCCTTTTCCTTTAGTGTGTTATGTGGCTTTTTTGTATGTCAACAGTCTGCAAAGTTTCAAAGCTCAAAGTACACGCCAGAGGGAGTAACCCTCTCCGACTTTGAAACCTCAAAACGCCCTGTTGGAATTCCAGCCTTTTTCCTGTTACAAGAGGACTCCATCTCATAGCACAGTCCTTACTGCTCTCACACAACACACAGAAACTATTGGAGGAGGAAGAGTTTGTTCAGTTTTGTACCCATATCGAAAAGACGCTGGCCGAACTTTCCGGATCGGAATCTGGCTCAAACTGAAACGGCAGAACCGACGCCATTGGAAAAATAGCCACCGTGCTGTTCACAGCTGCTCAAGAAAGAAGGGTCTGTCTGCAGACTGCAAGGCAGAGGCGGAGCATGTGGGGGCGGAACCACTCTGGGGGTTGACCAATCAGAACAGAGTGGGTGAGCTGACCAATCAGAGTACACTAGGCTTATTAGGCAGGTTGGGGGAGTGGGGCTTAAAGACACAAGAGCTCTAACGGCACGTTTCAGACAGAGGGTGAATAGAGATGTACAGTATGAGAAAATTTATATGTTTTTGAAACATTAAAGCATGTAAATCTATTCCAGTAGATCCCAAAAATTATGAACACTGAAAAAAGGCATAATAGGTCTTTTTAAGAATATCAAAGACAGAGTGGGTGAAGTAGGCTAAATAATAGCATAACGTCATCATAATTTATTTGCAAGGTGTTTTAAACTGGGGATGCTGAAATTTTAAGCAGTAGATATGTGACAATGAACAGTGACATCATGCAAGATAATTTGCCATTTACATCAAACAGAAGGTGTCATAAAATGCTGCAGTGTGTGAAGAGATGATAATATACCCTTATAGATGACAAATTAAACTTCTGATGCACACACTCTGATCTCTATGCACTCCTTCTGGATTAACTTTATGTAAATTAGTTGAGTGACGTCCAATCAGATTGTTGATGTGTGTGTAACCAAATGTGTCACATCTATAGACACATACTCGTATGTACTCTGAGCAGGAAATAAAACAGTTAATAAAAAAGAATGTATTCAAAGCGCGGGACATCATTATGGAGGGAAGCGATTTGGCTCATTTTAATGAAAATACATTAACTGTGCCCTATTCACTACATAGTGCACTATTTTGGAGTTAAAGATTCACGTGCGACTTCTCTGAGTAGGATTAGCGAGCCCAGCTACAATGGCAACCTCTCTACAGACCTCTCACTCTCTTCAGGCCTGTTACAGATGTAAGCTGTTTTTATGGGTGCAGTCGAACACCGCAGTTATAGTGGACTGGTGGCATCACATTTTTGTGATGTTTATATTTTGATACATGTTTATGCAATGGAATCTCCAGTTGCACAGTAATGAGCAAACCTGTATGAAAAAGTGTCCAACACCATTTACTGCCATCACGAATTCTGTTTCCTATAAAGGCTTGTTTATGCTCAACGTTAAATACGGATACAGATATGAACAGAGACTTCTGTCTATGCTCTGTGTTAATTTTGTCCGTATTTGTGCTTGTTCTCTGAAAGTATACAGATGTGGATGAAACAGCAATACCACCGGACGCCATGAGGTCAGTGTAACCAACCGTTCACGTGAGACATGATGCCAGTTTCTCTCATTGGTAATGTAAGTGGAAAGAATTGTTCAGATCTTTTTATTGTCATTTACAGTTAACCAACCATGAAATCTGGGGGTTGGCACCCCCATTTCCCCCAGCTCTGGCTTACCCTGACCCTGTCCACTACCTGATAACGAGAACAAACAGTGTCACTCATGAGAAGCACCACTCTTATGAAGCATGAAAAAGCACTTTTTTTTTCTACCGGTGGGGAAAAAAAAACTTTAACAAGTCTCAAGTTTATTTGAAACTGAAGTAATACATTTGTAGAACTTTTGATCTGAAGACCACTGACAAAAAAAATCCTCAAAATTAAAGTTACACTAATTCATTCAGGGAATCTTTTGAGAGCACATCTTGGACCAAATGATAAGTATAAAATAAAATAAATAAATAAAATAAATAAATAAGCACACAAAAGATATTGATCTTTTAGATGCTCTTAATTTCATTTATTATTGATTTACATATTTATGATCAAATGAAACAACTTTAGGCCTGGGATGTTACTCAGCCATTTCTCGATAATGACATGAACATCTGAATTGTGTGAAGATCCCCTTTTGGGAGATAATCATTCTGATATTTCTCAATATGATTCTGCACTTTATCCATGGCCCCACCAGTTCCCACATTCTGAACAGCAGCACGAATGTCCAGATTCTCAATTTTGCCACAAATGTTCCATTTCTGAATGTAATAATTATTTCATGAGCACTGATAAAATCAGCAAAATGGGAAATTATTATTATTATTATTATTATTATTGGTATTATTATTATTAATTATATTTAGGTTTATACAAATCTTTTTAAAACATTAGTAAATAACTGTTTTCTCAGATGGCTCAACTTATCCTATAGACTTTCACACTTTTTTGGGACCCCATATTCTGTTGTCTGTTTGAGTTAGGCACACTGCTTAGGTTTCAGGTGATGTCAGACATCCTGAATTTGTGTTGTATGCATTATTTTATTTCCTGTCTCATATTTTCTTGGCTATTGGTTGACTTAAGTAAAAAATGGTTCATCTTGCCCTGTTCTCCCCTACTGGCTGATACCAAGTCTGATACAATACTTTTATTTTATAAGATAATACAGCTGCACAGTGCACACTTTAAGTATATTTGAGTTATTAAACCTAATACAGTTTGGGCAGGTCATTCTGTTAGATGTTATTTATTAAACAAAAACTAGTCTATATAAAATTTTTAGGTGGTATTTTCATAGAAAGCTGGATATCCTCCTGAAGTGTGTAAGGATGTGGTGAATGCTTGAAATTCACTATCCTTCTGAATTAGCAAGTGAGAAAGCAGCCCCTCGTGTACAACCAGCTGAAGTGTGTGTACTATGCAGCCCAAACTTGAACTCCAGTGTTAATTTTGCGCTTACTGCTTAACCTCAAACTCCACCTACAAGCACAGACTTTGGAACATGAGCTGCTGAATACTGACATTTTGTTGGCACCCTACTGAAACATCTACATGAATTAGGGCATGCTTCATATAAATGATGGATTTTATTATTGTTGAAAAATTTAAAAAAAATTACTCCATGTGTTGCTGTTGTAATGGCATAATTTCTCCCAGAAATATGTACCTGTCAGTGCATTTCACTACTCATTGTTCATTTATTATTCAGAAATAACAAGAATCTTATCAAATTGCTGTACTTTCTAACTGTTGGCACAGGCTGAAGATGATGATTGATGATTATTTAAAATTTGTTTTTGATTAAAATGACATAACAAATAAAAATCAAATGACTGGCAAAATGAAGGCTGTGCTGCAGTCATAAAAAAAATACTACAATAAAAAATACACAAGATTCTGTTTTTGAATGCTTGTAATTTATTTATTGATTTTACTTATTTATTTGCAATCATATGTCCCAGTTTTGGGCCTTGAAATCATTCAGCCAGTTTTCAACAATGGCACGAATTTCCGAATCTGGAACTTTCTCAATCAGGGTACGAATATCCAAATTACGGATTTTCTCAAGGAGGGCACGAACATCCAAATTCCAAATTTGCTCAATGGCAGCACGACTATCGAAATTCTCAATTTTCTCAATGATGGCACGAGTATCGAAATTCTTAATTTTCTCTATGATGGCACGAGCATCGAAATTCTCAATTTTCTCAATGATGGCACGAGTATCGAAATTCTCAATTTTCTCAATGATGGCACGAGTATCGAAATTCTGAATTTGATCCATGATGGTGCGAGCATCTAATTTTTGGAGATATTGATCCTTATATTTCTCAAGTTGATTCTGCAGCTTCTTGAATTCATTCTGCACCTTCTTCAAAACATTGTGTGCTCTCTCCAGGGCAGCGTCGGGGTCGAATTTCTTAACAGCACCACGAATGTCCAGACTTGCAATTCTGTCACGAATGTTGTCCAGTTTCTGAATGGTGCCTTGAATGTCCAAATTCTGGAGAGCTGGAATGCTTCCGTCTTTTTCAATAGGCAGGGCAACAGGAAGAGACATGTCCGTCTTTGCGGCGGTCATCTAGTTGTAAGAGAAAACAATATATATATATATAATATAAATAACTAAAATTTGGTAATGAACTGTGTTAAAATATCACATCATGCAAAGTCACAAGAAAAACTTCTCACCGTTGGAGCTTTCATAATGACGTTCACAGATTTCTTAGTTGGTAGAGCCACAATTAGGGCAATCCCGTTCGCTTTGTTTTCAGCTCTGTTGACAGCAATTCCAGCCAGCCGAGCTGCTTTTTGTGTTGGGAGGTATTCACAAGCCCTGTTGGTAGAAATACATATAAGGACTTATAAGAAACTTCATGTATAATTCAGTCTGACATGAGATTTGTGGTTTTGAACTTTTTGAATGTACCTTTTAGCATACATGGCTGCAAGGGTTACAAGTGTTGGAGCTTTGTCCCACTCCAGTTCAAAACGAGCAGCAGGGCTTGATTCATGCAGACCAGTCTCAGCCTTAACAGTTGCAGAAAAGTCCTGGCACTCTGAACCCCAAGCAACCTTAGCCTAATGGGAGAGTCAGTGCTTAGTGCAAACAATTCTGTACAATTTTGAATGCTGACCAACTTAAAGAAATTCTTGAGAAAGTACATTGTTTTAGACAGCTGCAGTAAAAAAAAGCCAGACTTACGCTTGCTTTATGCTTGCTTGGCAGGACACCATCAGCACACAGCTTCCATTTCTCATCATCAGCAGCGGATGAAAGCACTAGCTGCGCTCTTGCATTGGGCTTATCCAAGTAAGCTGCAAACTGGTATCCCAGCTTGCGGTCACTTCTAACAGCACGAGCAATGATAGCCAAAGCAGGTGGAATAGCATCTCCAAGGAGCTTAGCCTGAAAATGAGAAACATTTGATCATTATTAAGGAATATCCAATTTCTTATATGCTACTGGTGGATGGTAGACTTTCCTTCTTGCTGACTATTTTTAAAAACACAACAGCGAATTGGATTTTACCTGTCTCTGGAGGGCCTCAATGCTGGCCATCGATCTTCCTTGTGAGGCCAAGTGCTGCAAAAAAGAAACATTGATATTTCTCTTAATGTAGTAAGAAAGCATCTAAACAACAAACCATTCATTTCATATATACTGCAATCATCTTATATTTTATATCTAACTGCAAATAAAAGAACCTGGCATTATGTGTACAGTCACAATAAGAAGTAAACTGAAGGGTTTTATGAGGAGTTACCTGATCCATGTGGAATTTCCTGAAGGGGCCATATGTTTGAGGAGTCTAAGAAAAAGCATGACATGAGTCATGAGATCACTGTTTGGTAAGGCAAAAATTATATTATTTATTATAATAGATAAAACAAAGACATAACTGATTAACGTCTATTATATGATAAGAAAATGTAATATCCTGCTTTAATGACGTTTAGAGATATACTGTTTCTTCAGATCTAAAGTACACTCCTGAAAAAAGTCTGAAATTACTGTAAAAATCTAAATAAATTTTTTCCATTCAGACCAATTAAAATCCATGATCCTTCCCATGTCCTTCATAACACTTCTCATAAACCTCTCAAGTAATATAGTAATATGCTCATATGCTCATAAGACTTGCCTGAGATGAGCGAGCGCTAGAGGAGCTTCGAGAGCTGCTGGCACTCATGCTGCTGCTGACGGAGGAAGCGGACCTGCTTGAGTTGCTTGCCCTGAAGTTCATATTTTTCAGCCCAGCCTCCAAGTATTCCCTCAATTTCAACAGGATGATGTTTTCTTCTTGAGTTTCAATTTCAGCAATGTTGATTTGTTTAACAAGTTTCTCAGCTGCCTGAGGACCAATATGAGCTTCAAACTCCAGTCTTTCAAGCGCAGCAGCGTCACCTAAAGAACAAGTTGGAGAATATTTCTTCAATATTTTCTTATTACACGAAATTAACACCCTAGCTGGTGCCAAACCAGGACTTACCTCTTCCCACTGAAATACGAACTGAGTGCTGTCCAACAATATAGTAAAGAGGATTGTATCCCATAAAGCCAGCATGGCGTGATGCGACCTCGATGCATCCCTTGATGTGAAAGTAAGGTGCAGTACCACACAGGGACTTCTGGATTGAAGCAGGTATCCAGGGCTGAGCACCAGAGGGTGCCGCAGGTGCCAGAGATGCTATTCTCTCAGCTGGGTGGTCCTCAATATTTCTGGCCACAGCGACAGTCTCAAAGCTGTGACAGGAAGTGGTAAGAGGTCATAGAACTTGCTGAAGATACACCTCTTGTTTTGTTTACTGTGATCACTGTTCTCTAAAAGCTTTTTGCTTAAATTTCACTAGAAATTAATTTAATGCAGAGATAGTTTGTCACCCTTCTTTCCATTACCTGGCAGCAGCAACATGATCAGGAGCTGCAGCTGGCAAGATTTCCAACTTGAAGCTGCGCCTTGCAAAGTCAGCTCTTGCAGCCACTTTGCCTGGTGCAACAGTGTGGAACTTTCCTCTGGCCATAACAGCGGCCTGAATCAGGGCAGTGTTCACTCCAACCACAGCAAAGTTCTGCATGGCGACACTGAAAGCAAAACAAAAGGGATACGTTATGTTTTTCCCCAGCTTGCATGCTCATATAGTCATTTCAAGTCTCTGAAGTAGTACCTTGGTCTGGCCTCAGCCTGCACCTGGAAATCAGTCTTCATCAGCTGATCAAGAGTGGCAGTCTCTGGGTTCTCAGGTAGAGGAGGTGTAATGGCAGCCTTAACTAAAAGGATGAATGAATTCATGTATTCACTAAATGTCAGTGATTAGCATATTTAATGCTAGTATGTTATACCGAAACCCCTACCATTGACAGCTGCACCAGCAACAGCAGCAGAGTAAACACCAAGCTCAACTGGCACACCAACAGCAGTGGGGATGATGCGACGCACCTCAGCTGCCAGCACAGGCTTAGCATATTGGAAGGCAATGCCAGCTTGCAAGGCCTTAACAGCCTCCTTCAGCAGTTCACGTGCACGTGGTTTAGCAGCCTTTAGAGTGAGCATAATATGTTTAGGTTATATTTTTCAAGCAAATATTAAAACAGATCCAGGTTTCTTCTACTGGAAATCAATGAAATACCTGTGCTGCCTTCTCAATGGCGTTGTCAATGAAGGTTTTGTCAATGTTGGCAAAAGCAACTTCCTGTCCAAAGGCTTTGACATAGAAGGAACCCAATGGTTTACTGGCTGGCATTGCCTTCCAATTCATCAGCTGGAAAATAAAGATATGTTAAATTTGTTATACAATATATATTCAACGATGCATTAGTAAAATACAATGTATGAGATGTTAATAACTTACTGCTTTCAGGGTGTGCTTTATCTTGGTAATGCGATCAGCATTCTCATCTGCAGCTGGAGTTCCTTGTAGAGCTTCCTGAAGACCTTCAGTTCTGACACCAACCTGGTTGAAATGAAGTAAAAAAATGTCAATTCCAGAAACAAAATCACATGATCTAAGCCAATTCGCTGACATCCTTGAAAAGAAATATTTATACCTCTAGAACATCAGCAGCAGCTCCTGCCAGGTAAGCACGTGCTTTTGCTACAACAGCTCTGGGCACAATGGTGGCAGCATCATTGATGATGAAAGCAGTACCAGCAGCTCCAACCATGAGAGGAGCTTTACAGAAAAAAAGATATCTATTTTTATGCATTTGGTAGATACTCTTATCTAGAGCAACTTACAGTTTAGTCAAGTTAGAAAAGAAGGCAAATGTATCCTTACAGATATGGTGTGGAGTGCTTGCCCAAACAAGGTATCAAACTCCAGTTTGCCACTTATAGGCTGGATATGTTAGCCATCTACATTCAATAACGCTACAACTACTTATACACACCCCTATAACAGCACATACATTCATTGACATTTTGTAATTTTACAAACGTCATGAAAAAATTCAAACTTACACACATAAAGGTCCAAGTGGAAAGCAGTGCTGGAAAAGTAGCTCAGTCTGTCCAGTTTGGGGCTCAAGATTCTGACAGCAACATTAGCTGCAGCAGCTCTGTAATCAACAAAATGGTCACTTCTCGCTTTGGGTTTACAGCATCAACAGAATGGTTACATTTAGCTTTGAATTTACAGAAGCAAAAATTATTATGCTAAATTAAAAAAGTGTAGTTTTCTTACACATGCATCAAATCAGGGGCCATGCTTCTAGTCAGAGACTTGATGAAAGTGTAAGCAAAACTGGCCACTTCCTTGCTGGGCTCTTTCTCCATAGCACCAGCAACAGTGGACATAAGAGCCGCTGAGGGTTTGGTCTCAAACAGTGCAACGCAGGCAACCATACGTGCTTCTGGATGAAGGGTCTTATCCATGAAAAGCTGCAGTGCCACTGGCTGGACCTAAACAGACCAATAAGATGATTTAGCTTCTGGAACAAAAGTAACCAAAACAGATGTGTTCACAAATCATCTCATACATACCAACTTTGGCTCCTTCTTGGCAATGTTCCTGAGTGCCAAAATGGCGTCAACTTGGACTTTCGTGGGCATGGCTGCAGCAGCAGATCCAAATCCAGGCAAAAGCTTCATGATGGGTTTAAGGCTAGCAGGGTGGCCAGCATTGCCCAGAACTTTCAGAGCCAGGCTGATTTCAGACATTTCACCCTTTGCAATGGCCTCTGCAGCATGGTCATGGACAGGCTGATGACAAATGGTGAAATGTGAAATTAGTTTTCTGTTGACTGTCATTATTTGTGCAGTCATTCATATTTAAATATGTTGGTCACAGTAAATATGAGAGGAGTTCTCTAGTATCTGAACTTATATTGAATTTTTCAGATTTTTTTAAGGATAATAATGAATTCGCCTTTATTCATTACCCGTAGATCAGAGTATTAACACATCTATGAACAGAAATGTTACCTTCAAGTGATCAGCAGAACAGGTAGGAACTTCAGCACAGTATTTGGCAACCATGGAACCATAGCCAAGCATGATCACCTCACGCAGCGCTGGCATGGCCTTGGTTTTGGGACTGAAAGCCAAACCCTGTTCAACAGAGTAAAAGATTAGGATATTTATAAAGACTTATAAATTTATAAAAGCATTTATGCTACAAAGATCAAAATAGTAAAATTATGTACTCACAGCAGCCTGTTGAATAGCGGCTGGATCAGCGGTGGCCAGGTGCAAACCAAGCAGAAGGGCCTGAGTGAATTCAGGGGCGCTGAACTCACCAGCTTGGAACTTTTCCTTGATGAACCTCAAAGCTGCTGGTGTACCCACAACAGGAGCTGCATCCAGAATCCATCGTCTGCCAGAACAAAGATTTTAGAAAAGTACAATCATGTTTATTTTAATTTTATGAACACATTCAAGAGAATTTTACCTGTGAAGAGGTTTGGTCTTGTACTGATCCCAAATGGCCCGTATATTCTCAAAAGTAGCAGCACGCATGAGCTGGACTAGCTGAAGAAACTTCAGTGGAGCATCCTCATGGACCGTGGCCACATTGTTTGCAGCCAGATGCTGCAAGACCTCTGCAGTCTGAAATAGAGTATGGGTAATGCTTCAGCTCAAATCTGGATATTGAAGACCATGACATCGTTTTCTCAAATGAATATTTAACCAGAAATATTAAGATATATTGTAGTAGTTGTGCTTCAACTCAACTCTTGATAATGAAAATAATGGCATGTTTAACGGGTGAAAGTATTCTCAAATTAATACATTAAGGCCCAATCCCATTTTACCCCTTGCCCCTACCACTTAGCCCTCCGTTTTGCGCGTTCATGCCTAGGGGTAGGGTGTCCCGAGTTTTGTTGAGATAGAGGGGTAGGGCGAAGTGTTAGGGCTACACGGTCCTCCAAACGGAGGTTTTTCAGAGGCGCACTCCAAACAGAGTGTTATCAGAGCCGGTTTATGAGGAGCCTGGCCACTTCCTATTCCCCCCGTTATATCAAGAACAGGACTGCTAAACAGCAGAGGGCGCCCGCGAGGGAGTCCTCAATGAATGGGAGTAAATGGAGCTCAACTGCTAAAAACGAAAAGTTAAAATAGTTTCTAATCACTCGCCCAGAATGTTTCTTTAATTTTAGAAAGTAGAAGGATGTATATCACTAAAAAACAAAGAAATCTTACCTATATATTTCCTTTTTTCTACAGCAAACGGGTTTTGGGCAGCAGAAGGCGGGCATAAGCGCTAGAACGTGATGATTGATTGGCGAGCGGAGCAGCTCATTGGCTGTTCGTGCTCACGACGTCATGTACATACACGAGGTGCCGTTTTAAACTCCTTTAGCTCGAGTTTAAAAACTCTTAAAATATATAACAGCAGTGTTCAGTGCACAGGAAATGATTATATTCTTTTACATTAAAAAATGTTTAAGCATTTATAAACTATGATTTTGCTCAAATGCTCCATACCAACCCATTCATTTTGGACTCACTCGGGAGCGCCCTCTAGCGTTTGAGAAAACCGGAAGACATTGCAGAGTGGGAATTCTCATTTCTACAAATTCTCTGGTGTTATGAGAAAAACAGAAAAAACAGTTAGATGGCGGCGCAAGAGACCAAAGAAACCCCACAAATGAGATTATTTTCTCCGTTAAAAATTACGATAATCATTGTATTGTCTCAGTTCAGTGTCGTTTTAATGTATACTGATATTTTTCTTCATAACAAGCACAAAAAATCGCTTATAGTATGCTGATGTCTCGGTAGCTAGCTAGCTAAATTTCCTGTTCCACCTTAAATAGTCCAGCAGTACTGACGCCTGAAGCGCCAGAATGTAACTGCTGCACCATTTAAGGTGGAACAGGAAAATTCGAACAAGCACCTGGCGAATACTTCACTTTAGCTTCATATCACTTAAGAATTAGCGGCGGGCAATAATAACATCATTATATCCTTTTGTAAAGAATATAATGCCTTAAATTTAACAAAAGACCAGCAGCGAGGTTGCCAAACTTTACCGCCCCTCCGCCATCACTGTAGACTAGCAGGGTCGCTCACAGAGCACCGCTAACGTAAGAGGGCAGTATTACGCACTGTACTTCGGCACTTTTCGTGTTTCACTTGTTATTGCGGAAATACCCGAAGTCATATAGGACATAATGATTGATTGGACTCAAAATCCGCCTGGCAACCAAAAATGCATTTCACAGAGCACCGCTTGTAGCCTGTTAATGTAGTGATGTTCTTTTTATTGGAGGCTTGTCCCATTTCGTAGGGGAAGATTTCCACCACTACCCCTTGTAACTCAGTTCAAAGGGGCATGTTGACACTCGAAAACAATGGGTAGGGGTAAAAATAAGAAATGGGTTATGCTGAAGGAGATTAATAATAATACCTGAGCCTCTGCATTGGTGATCTTCAGAAGCTGAATGGGGGTTTGGAGAGTCTCAGCGCCAAACTCGTACTTCACGGATCCACGAGCTGCATATTCACCGCTGGCAGGGGCAATGGGGGTACCCTGCACCTCCTCTAGGGTCAAAGTTTGCCTGAAAGGAGAAATATGTTATTCAATTTATTTCTGTTCTTGTTTGATTTTGTTACAGGATTTGAAACATTAGACCATATGTCATACCTGGCTCTCATTTGGGCTGCTCCAGTCATTGTATTGAACAGTGAGAACTGATGGATCTCTTCAGCTGTAGCCTCAGACACCTGAACACCAGCATCACCTGGCTTTAGGCGGTAGCTGTATGTTGCAGTTCCAGTCAGACTCTGAAGCCTCTGTGGTGAGGAAAGAATCAGTAAGAGAAGGTTTGCTTCTTTCATTTACTTAAAAGCCAGCTTCTCAACCTGTTGACGATTTGATTTTACCTGCTGGCATTCAGCACACTTCTCAGCGTAAGCCAAACCGACATCCTTAAAGACCCTTTCATGGCAGTTGGTCAAGTCTTTGGACTTTGTCACAGCAACCTGACGGGTCTTTGCATCTTCAGTGATCATGTAGTGAGTCTTGCAGACTCCATGAGCTCCAGCCTAACAGGATGAAATCATTTTAGCTCAGGTGACAGAGCAAAATATGATTTAAATGATAACAGATATGAAATATCTATTTTTTCTATTTGCTTACTTCATGCATCTCATAGACATTCTGGGTGTTCTTGAGGTTGAGCTGAAGAATGTTGAGGATGCCTCTGTGCACATTCAGGACAGTAGCAGACACTCCAGCAGGGGCGAATATTTGACCTACCGCACCATTAGCATACTCAAATTTGATGGGAGTCGCAAGCTGAGCGTTCAGTGCTGCGGTGAGCTTAGAAGCAGGAGCGAAAGGATCTTGGGGCCAGATTCCAGCGTACTCAAAAATCTGAGGATCCGCGAGCTAAGAGCAAAAATCATCACACGTTTACTACCTTTAGGTTAAACCACATGTTACCTATGTATCAGGGTGTTTTTTCACAGAAAGTGTTTTTGGCATCTTCCGTGCAACTGCTTTACCTTCAGGAGGAACGTATTCCGCGCCTCAGCCCTGATGAGAGCCTTGCAGCTGACTTTCATGCCAGCCTTGCCCAGACCCTCCTGAGGCAGACCGCCCAAGACCTGACCTTCGTACTTGTAGACATAGGTCTTACCAGCAGCAAACTCTGGAGCTGAATAAATGTTTCATAGTAAGTTTCTCTGAAAAGATATCTGAAAGATACCAGTCTACTCTGAAGTGTTCTTAGATATGCTACGTTTACTTACCAAGGTTGATCTGTTGACTTGCTAAAAGAAAAAAGTGGAAATCAACAGGTTATACTATAAAGATATCATTCCCAAAATTGGTTTATATTATTAAAAAAAATTATATAAATATTTGTAGAAAACTCAATGTTTTTCAAATTCAGATCATGACTTACCCGCAAGGGCCACAGTCAGAGCAAGCACAACAGCTCTCATGGCTGATGGTTTGTGATGGATCAACTGATAGTCTGCCTTTTTTATTGAAGTATTTTTGCTGACTCAATAGTCTCTTCAGTATGAATTATTAACTGTTTTGATGTGCATAAGGTGAAGTCTGATTGGCCAACTGAATGGCCAACCAACTGACAAATAGATTTTAGGTCAGGTTAACCTGGCCTCCTGTCATGTTAAGACAAAGCCAATGTCCACAGAACCTATTGGTTTTTCTTTTTAAGTGCCTTATTTTATTTTGTTAGAAAAGTTTGTTTAAGCTTATGTTTAACTTTTAACTAATTTAACTAAATTAAATAAACATTCATAAATGTTTCTATGAATTTATAAATGTTAAATGTACAAATTTCTTTGGATGTTGCTGTGAAGTAATTTGGATTTAATTCTATGCTATAGTAGTGTTTTAATGACAATCCATGGAAGCCTGTACAATTCATGTGCATCCCATTTTCAGCATTTTCTATACATTCCAGTAGAAGCTTCTTCTTTTTAACAGCTTCTGCTATTAATCTAGTCCTGTAATTGAATTGACTTGAATTAAATTTATTGTTGTTAAAACAATGTGCTGGTACATATGTAATACAAGAGGGAATTCACCGGGAATGATGCATACATGACATGAATATAGATAAGAACATACATATATACATTATTATATATATATATATATATATATATATATATATATATATATATATATATATATATACACATACACACACGAGTGCCATAGGTAACTGCTGTGAGAGTATGTTTTTTAGCATTTTTGAATTATGCAATGAATGTCCTTGCATCATCCATCCAAGTAACCTTAGAATACCTAAGAACACTTCATATATATATATATATATATATATATATATATATATATATATATATATATATATAAAATAGAAATAAATTAGAAAACATAAAGCTTATGCACTCATGGTGAAATGAAAAGTAAGAGAACAGATGCCCTGGCTTATGCCATGACCTAGGATAGTGTGACCTGAACTCTACCACTGTTCTCTGGACTTTGAAAACAGTTTTATGTTTGCTTAATTTAATGTTCTGCCAAATGGCATTTTGATGTCCACTGTACATCTCTAAATAAATGAATAAAACAGGTAGTTCCATCATACTTGTTTACTGGAACAAAATCCCACCATCAGGCCTCTGTTATTATTGGTAATAGCCAGGCAAAGAAACTTCTCCAAAAACTGGAGTGTAGTGATATCAAGCTTTGATTGCACTTTAAAATTTTTACAAAAGTGATTCTTAGTAGTTGCTGTTTTATAACTGATGAAACTTGCAGTCTGGTGTCTGCTACTGATGTCTAAATGGCTTGACGGTAAGCAAAAAAAAAATTGCCACAAGTAAAAAGTGTCAAAGTTAGTACATATCAGTTCAAAACAATCACATCAGATGTAACTGTTCTTCAAGGACTATACCAGACAGTTTGAATGAAAATAGAAAAACCCTTTGTAAAATATTACTCCGATGCAAGTAATAGCATGTACTCTTTTTTCTGTCTGAAATAAAGTACAAAGGTACTGATTTTTCAATTTACTTAAGTATCAAAAGCAGGTGTACTCAGAGCTGTAATTTCATATTATTATAATGAAGTATATGCAGGAAAGGGAGGACAAACTCCCTATTAATATCCTTTATTTCAGAAGAAATGTTGGCTGAAAAGGTGTCTAAAAACTTAGGGGCAAGAAATGTGTATCTTGTCCTAATGTACAATTTGTGTGAAGGTGGGGGGTGGACACAGAGCTGCCAGTTTATTGGTGGTGTGGTGCAGATTGATGCTCTTTGAAAACAGTACTACAGAGTGACTTGACAGTTAGTTTTCTTAGTCTGCACATGTGTGAAAATAGAGCGCTGTCCTGGAAATAGCGAGCAGTGTTTAATGCAGCACCCGCGAGATGGCAACAAAACACTTTTGAAGCAACGCTGAAACCAACTGCATGCTTGATGACATGAAGATTTTAAATATTCTTCATCTTCGAGATGATGTATGTTTATTTTTTTCTCAGATATGAAACAGAAAGATATGTAATTAATATACTAGCAGAACACACTGTGACCAATCTCAGGTCTGAGACCTTTCTCCTTTAGTAATGTCACGTTTTGATTTCATTTTGGGTGTGTTATTTTGAAAGTTATAGCTAGCTTAGTCAGGAATATTTTTCAATTTTGACCTTTTTAGAAATCAATAAGAACTAAATGAAGAACCCGTTTACTGTTAATTTTTCAAAATTTCTTCATTAATATTTTTTGTACTGTTTCTTTAGGAATTTTTAATTTGTATGTATTTCACTTTATACTGTTCTTGATCATCATTATCTCCTAATGAAGCATACAGTAACACCCTGTTCATTAGTAAGGAGTTACCACGTGTTTCACTTTATAATGTTGTTTTTGAAGATCTATGACTCATAATAAAGGACAGCAACACCTCATTCATTATCAGATGATACATCTGATTACAGATAGTAATTACATGATCACTTGGTAATATTTAGAACCAAGTGAATCTGAAGTTAGAACAAATACACAGTCACATATTTCTGTGAGCGCTCTCTTCAACTACCCTCAACAAGACTTTCAACAAACTGCTGTTCAGAAGAAACGACACTGGCACACATGCCCCTGCAGATAAAATGGTGTTTTCTAAGAGGTAAGCAGACTGGTCTACTGATACTGTAGCATCTTAGCGGTTGTCCCATTTGTAGGTTTACTAATGTGCAAATTGGTTCACACTGCCAAATATGAAGATTTCTTTCTTTCAGGTTTCTGATTAGAACAAGTACATGAGAGACACAGTCAGTACAGTGTGGTCTGATGCCCCCTGCCTTCTCTGAGGATCAATGTTTCTGTGAATAATAAGGGAGGAGATAATTCTTTATATTTTAAAGACTGCATACTGTGTAGTGTATTACTACATGTTGGACTACACTACATTAGTTGGTAGTTCACCAGAAACCTTGTGAGACTCAGCTGTTTAGCAATTAATGTTGAAACTGATCAGTAATTTATTATACTCTAAATCAGTAATTTAGAGTATTTATTCTAAGAAGCCATAGTTACTAAGTGATTCTCTGTGAGGCTTGGTAGATGTTGTTTAGTTTATAGTGAACTACCCAAATTATTAGTTCACTATTACCTGCTGAATAATTAACTATTACTTCTTGGTAGTTAATAGTAGTTAAGTGTTAATTAACTTAAGTGTTAATGCAGCACTACTCATTCGTCCCTGCTGAGTTCCTGATTAGTTATTTATTAACTACGAAATTGTTGTAAAGTATTACTATTATTCAAGAATGAAGACTATTTTATCATACAGACACTAGGTGGGTAGAAACAGACAAGGTACCCAAGAAATAAAAAACTCAAGACCCAACACAGACAAATACAAGACACAGAAGGATGAACCAGACACAGATGGACAAGATGATGACAGACTGGACTGGAAAAAAACACAAGTGACACAATATTCCAGAACACTGTACTTACTGGGATCTTGTGACAACAAAAAGCTTATTTAACACATTGTTTCCTGATAAATTCAGACATTGAAGACTTTATTATCTTCATCTTTATTCATTAGTACATAAATTAGTTAACGCTGAGTGACTTAATCATGGTTGTTAATATGTGACTTATTTGTTCTTGATTAATTAATTATTTTCTGATTAATTATTCATTAGTATATACCTTAATTACTCAGATCATGTACCCTCACTATAAAGTGTCACCACAAGTTCATTTTTAATAGATTGAATCACTGTGAAAGTTAAAAGGCCTTACTAGTTATACAGTAATGGAGATATGAAAAATATTTAAAGAGATGACTGGACTTATGTCACGACCTAGGATAGGGTGACCTGAACCTCACCACTGTTCTCTGGACGTTGTGTTTTCTTTGCCAGAACAGAACAGAAAAGCTGCTCTCCTGGAAAAAAACATCACATTGTTGAGCTTCTGTGGTGACAATGATGATGAAGATGAAGATGATGAAGTGATTTAATAATGTGCTGTTTCACTGCTGTGATATTTTGGTCTGAACAAAATGAACAAAGCCATGGTTACTCAACAAAATACAAACATTTACTCTGTTTAATTAGTTTACTCTTTATGGAGGATTGCCTGAAGTGTGATGTTTAAAGGTTTGGCTTGACTAGAAGTGTGACAGAAAACCAAAGCATAATAGAAATATTGTGCAAATAATAACAATAGTGTGCTTTATTTACAGAAATTGCACAAGAGCCTTCACCATTTTTAGAGGAAGAGGAATGATGTGCAAAGCTGTAATTTCTTAAAATTATAGTCAAAATATGTTCAAAAAGGGTTAAAAAACATGTCCTTTCTCAGTCTTTATAAATCCACTTTATAATTTCCAAAAGTCTGATTAACTTACATGCATTCTTTGTTTCTGATTTGCTGCAAAAGGAGAGACTGGAGGCATTCTAGATATTGTAAATAGCATTTATAAATTTACCTTAATATTTTTGACCTTCCACACAGTTTTACAGATGTCCATCAAAAATGATGTGTGAAGTAGATATATAGTGATATATTTTTAAATAAGGTTTTTCTTATTTTTTGCTCATGGTAACTGGTAGGAAGGCAACCCTAATGAGGGAAACACCCCTGGAGTTATTCACCCAGAAGGACCACTAGCCTGTATGTTCACAAACATTATGATTAGGTCTATAGTGTGTCTTACTTCAACTGACCTTGTAGCAGTCAGCATTCTGTTAACATGAATGTATAACCATATAAAATGAACACATTGCTGATTTTGTAGCCAGAATATTAAACTGACATGACAATGCAGCACAGTGTTATCCACTCAGTACTGTGGTTTTCAGATTAAACATCCTAATGATTTTATTGTCATGGCACAACATTTGATACCTCTCTCTGTTTCATCCTTCTTAGCAAATTTCTCGCACGTACAACTGTAAGTGCAATATACATTATTGTAAGCAGTATGC